GACGAGATAGTTCTGTTCTCCTCAGCAGGGTCAGCCTCTTGCTAGGCTTCTGCCCTCTCTGGTTGACAACTGCTCACATCCAAGGTTGCCAGAGTAGAAGTCTTTCTGGGAGTGGCCCAAGGACCTTTCTGCCCTGCCAGGCTGCCAGCTGCTTCACAGCACTAACACGGTCCACTGGCATCCAAGGGCACCGCCGTGGGCAGCACACTGCTTAGAAACATTGAAGGTATTCTGGGCTCCCCCTTGTGGGTGATGTGGGTGAAAATATATACATTAACTTGGCTTCTAAGAGCAAGTACATTTCACTGGGGAAGACGGATGTGTTCAGTTTGGCCAATAGGCCCAAAGCCATTTATTGTTACAACCTCACACACTCTCCAGAACACCTGAGGAAGAGCCAGGGTGCTGGTTTTTCATCTGGAACAGAATTAGCGATTCACTGGATCAGGTGCCAGGGGCTCAGGCCCCTGTGTTAGCTCCACCTTTACTTGATTAAAGACCTTGGGCAAGTTACTCTGAAACCTTCACGGCTTCATATATCAAAAAGGGGCCCTGCCAACTCTCAGCATCGCGCCAACCTGGGAATGTTTTCTCCAGCTCCAAGAGCAGATGTTCCCTTTTGGTTTCTCCAAATATCCAGCAGGGCAAAATTAGGGGCTGCAGAGAATGGGAAGGAGGGTCTACTCACATTCCTGCCCCTCCTGCTCCCACCTCAGCCTCTGGGCCAGGGGGAGACCCTGTTCTCACAGGGCCTGGAGGGCTGGAGAGGTGGAGGGTGAAGACTAGTGAGACCGTGACGACAGAGGTTCCATGTTCCACAAGTCCCCTTCAGTAAACCTGGGTACAGGGGGCATTGGAGTTTTGGGGAGGGAGAACCAAACGATGGAAGGAAGATTGAGCTCCCACCTGGCCCTCTGTACGTAGCTGCAGCTGACAGAGATGTTCAGAAAAGGGATGGGAGGGGTGTTTGGGCCCCCAGCCAGGAAGTAGGGGATAAGCAGGGATGAGGGAGGAAAAAAGTCGCCAAGCTCCATCTTGAGGTGCCAGAGGAGCCTCTGGAGCACAGGGATCTCGGGACTACCACATCCACGAATCACCTGAGTAATGATGGGAACTCAAGAGGCCAGCCGGGCGGTGCCTGGGAAGGCTGGAGGTGAGGCAGGCATCACAAAGCCCTGGCTAGACCCAATTACCAGTGGACTTTTACATCTGGAAGTACAGACGTCACCTAAGGAATGGACACATCACACGCACTACCTGTCATTGCCTCCCCTCACCTTTAGCCAGTCAGTGGCACCTTCTGTGCAGAGTTGCCCTCCTGCTCAGGGAATCGTTCCCAACTGCTTCACAGCTCATTCTGTTCCATCTTGGAGTTCAGTGCAGGGCTCATCTCCCTCTGGATGTCGTCCCTGAAGCCTCACTCTGGGCTTCTTGCCCCCATGTGTTCTTAGTTCCCTGTGCCTGTCTCCTGTTACTATTGGTAATTGTTTTCTTGTTTGAATCCCTCTCTGAACCCACAAGCTCCTTAAGGACTGGAAATGACGCCTACTCCCTTTTGAACACTTAGCACCTACAGGTGCCCGGTCTGTAGGAAGGACTCAGTGCTGAGTTAACGCTGCTGAAAGAAGAGGTAAGTGGAGAAGAGGTAAGGCTCAGCTTAAGTCCCATTCCACCTTCTGGATAAAACAGGATATATGCTTTCTTACACTTGACGGCCCTTGAAGTATCTGATGGTGGTCAAGTTCTGTCCCTAAGAACATTCTAATGAAGGAAAACATCCAGCTCCTTTGACACGTCCTCAGACGCCCTGGCTTCTCATCCTGTCTCCACTGAGCTCCCTCCTCTGATGGCTCTTGTATGTTTCAGGATTCCTCTATAAATAAGACAGTTGGAATGTGATACATCTTCTCTCACATTCCTACCCAAGTTAATAAAACTGAGTGATGGCTAACATTGCAACAGAAATCAATAGCCGAGCCAGAAAGGGGATCCAGAAGTTTGGGTCCCTCCAACAGTACCTTACTAACACTAGCTGGGCATGGATTAGGAACCCAAACCTAGTTAAGTTCCCACCTGTACACTCAGCCCTATGTGTGGACTCCTCACCTCTTGGCTAATCCCCAAGCCCTCACCTCAGCGTGAGCAAGGGCAGAGCTACATGTAAGGCCAGCAGCTCTGCAGATGCCTGGGGCAGTGCTACAGATTAGTGCCACACGGCCACAGATTAGAAAATGCTCCCTTGGAGCACAGCGATTCATTTAACAACGTGTATTTATTGAGAACCTAGCTTCCCGGAGCTTACAGTTTAGTAGGGAAGGTCAAAGTAAGGATGTATTTATTGTTATAAAGCAGCTTAAAAGGACCAGTGCTACAGAAAAAGAAAGAACAAGGTAAGAAGCACTTGGTCGAGGTGTGGCAGATTAGTTTTAAATAAAGTGGTCACAGGAGGCCTAACTAAAGGAGACTAGATCAAGACTAGAAGGTGAGGGAACTGGGGAAGGGCATTTTAGACCTAGGGATGGGACACAAGGTTGCTTATTTCTGACATTATAAAAACTACACTATAGGATGCTGCCCTAATTTATAGGAATTAGAAACAGACTTATAAAGTGCACTTCTATTAAGATCTCTATTTCCAGGGTCAGGTGTCCACAGCCTCTATAAACTGCTAGAGCAACTCTGCCCTTTGACATGAACCCACTACGATCAAGATCTGTTGCCTGGGGGATCCCTGGGTGGCTCAGTGGTGTAGCGCCTGCCTTCGGCCCTGGTCGTGCTCCTGGAGACCCGGGATCGAGTCCCATGTCAGGCTCCCTGCATGGAGCCTGCTTCTCCCTCTGCCTGTGTCTCTGCCTCTCTCTCTCTCTCATGTCTCATGAATAAATAAAATCGTTAAAAAAAAAAAAAAAAAGATCTGTTGCCTGCTTCTCTTTTCTAGGAGTAGACAGCTACTTTTTAAGTATTTAACAATGATGGCAAAGCAAAATAAAGTCAATGAATTAGTATCTTTTGGGACATATGGTGTATTATGTCCTTCACCTCCCATACCTCCTTCCCTAAAGGATCTTCACAGAGTGGGTACATCTTTCCCATGCCCTGGAAAGCTTTTCATTACCTATTGTGATGTTCAAATATGGGTCAAGTCTAGTTGTCAGAAAGAAAAAGTGGACTGCTAAGAGATTAATGAGCCACTCACATAAGGTATGCACTAATAAAAATTTAATATCATAAAACAAATCAGAAAACAGCAAAAAAAATTTTTTTTAACCATTCACAATTAATGTGGAAAGACAAAATTATAAGGCAGCCATCCATGGAATGATTTCATGTTTACAAAGGATCCAGAAAAGGGGACATTTAAAATCACTGTTCAAGCTACTGAACCAGGGGAACTGCAGTTTTATCCCATGAGACTTCCAACTTGCTAGAAATGCTATCAGAAAAAAAGATCAAAGCCAAATTCCTTGTGTTAGGCTGAGCATATCTGGAGAACTCCCAATGGTTGTCTAGTCCTTTCCTACAAGTCACAAATTTCCCTCAAGTCTCCTGGGGTGAATCTCGATGTCTCAGGTAAAAGGAGGGGGGGCTCCATCATTGATAGCATCTCCAATAGTGCTCTTGGGATCATTGTTTTGAGTAGAGATTTTCTAATGCAAGGATAGTTCTCCTGTAGATCACCTTCCACTGTAGCAGTTTTAGAAGAATCTGGCCAATATTTTCAAGCTCCCAAGGGGCACAGGGGCCCTATAGACAAGAGCATTTTCTAAGGGCTTGTGTTGTTGGTAGACAGCTCCCTGTTTAGTACCTAGCTACCACAGGTCTGAGGGGTATAATACTCCAAAGCTGGTGTGTCCCCCTAGTTCTAATCCTTGAAAAAGAAAAACCAAGGCAGTGACACAAGTAGGCTGGTAAAAAACATAATTTCATTGCCTACTCTCTACCAAGAACTGACCCCTCAAAATGACCATCTTTGACCTTTCTCTAATGATTCAAAATACAGAACAGGGCTGACTCAACTGTTTTGAATAGGGAAAAAAGGTGACAGGGGAAGAGAAAACACATAGCCTTTGTAGATGGCAACTGTTTCCAACCATCTACACTCCACGGTGCAGAGCCTGTGCCTAAAACAAATCTAACTACAGCGTGTACAGGAAAGCTACAAGACCTAGAAGAGCGCTGCTTCGGGGAAATGGGGTCTGATATGCAATTGGCTGGAGAAGAAGGGAGGGGAGTGGACCAGTAGTGTTTTTCACCTTCATTTGCCATTTAAGAGTGCGTTCGGAATCTGAAGAAATTTGTCCCTACCAAGGAAATGGGAGTCAAATTGTAATAAAGACTAACTCAGGCTATGAGGAAGGAAGGGCCATGCTCTTCATCATAAGCTGCATCTCTTTGGTAGCCAGTAATTCCATCTGTAATCACAGCAGCAACTTAGGAATTGCCAAAGCTGCCCAATGTGTGAGAGCATTAAGGCGTCTCCATCTAAGGAGGCAGGAGATACAAGAGGAAAACAGAACTGAAATGTGCCAGTAACTGGCAACTGCTGTGCCCTCTGCTGGGACACTGCCCGCCATGGGCAAGTTCTTCCTGCAATAAAGAAGGCCTCTGTCATGCTGCTCGGCCCCTTGCTGCCTGAAGCTGCATTTGAGCCCTCTAAGGTTAGTATGGCTATTTCTGCCCACTGACCAGGAGAGAAAGGAGTTCCTGAGGCAGAAACTTTAAAAACTGGGAAAGCCTGTAGCTTCTGAGAGCTGAGAGGCCTTACAAGGTTTGCCTGTCAATGCGAGGTCCAGAGGGGAAGGTGAATTTGGAAATTTGATGGTTCAATCCTCCTCACCAGAGTGCAAGCCCCCTCGCCCCAACCCCCAGCAAGATATTCTAGACAAACTTTTAATAATGGCAAGGCACTGCTGAAACAGGCTTTGGCCAGCAGAACAAATTTCTCACTGTTGCACACAACAGTATGAGAGAAAGTGCTGCTACCCACACCAAACCAGACACTAGGATGTACTGTTTATTTAACAAAGTACATTTCCAGGGAGAATCAAGGCAACCATGACATCTTAAAGGATCAGACAAAGCCCCATGATTCCTCAGAGTTGTTATCAGGAAAGTCACTCAGACTTTCCAGACTGTACCTTTGTTGGTTTTAATATCATATGCAATGGTTGCCAGCCACTATACAAAACCAGATCCTATTTATGCTACTTTGGTCTACAGCCAGCAGAGGGCTCGCAAGTTCTATTTCCATAGCTGCTGACCCAGTGACAAATCTAGGAAGGAAATAAAGAAATTAAAGGCATGCTGGCATATACGCTATATAAAACATTTTACGAACTCCTAAACCCACTGCCCTGAAGAAAATAGTCTTGGTTCCCTCTGTATATAATGTTTTGAAATGGTACAGAAAATCAAAATAAATTAATGACACAGTATCATACACTTAGTTGATAACACAAAGTTTACAGGGATTTTGGCAAATATGGAAAAATTATCCCAGTTTGTTAAACACTTTTACTATCTCAACTGTTCAAATGACCAGAATATTAGTGATTGTGTCATCTCACATATGAGGAAGTGATATTTTAAGGGCTTAACAAAGTTGCATTTGACACAAAGGTAACTTCACTGAAGGAATAAAGAACAGAGACAATGTTATCTTCATCATCACAGTTCAAGAAGTGGTTGTCCTGATGAGAATTCAGTTCACACAGATACTAACATCACCACCAGCAGTAAGCAGCAAATTATAGATAAGGAGGAGGGGCTGGGGGAGGGAAGACAGGAGGAGAGCATGGAAAAGATGAAGAGACAAGAGACATGATTTCAATAAGCTTTAAATCAAGAGGCAAACACTTCCCACTTGTCATACATCTTGACTTTCTTCACTGGTACAGGGATTTATATGACACTGGCCTAGCACTCCCCAAGGGACACCAAGGATTTGCCAGAGGGACTGCTAGTCTGCTAAGATAAATACTTAAAAAGAAAAATAGGGACAACATAGGTTTTGGTAATCTTACTTTTAAAAAGATTACTACAAAGATGTCAGTTACTATCCAAATTCACTTAAAATTAAAACCCCTTCATTTCAAAAGACACTTTGGGATCTGACTGTTCTTGAAAGGAAAGCCTGAGTGGGCCTGAACCTACCAGAACTTGGCTCCTCTGCATTGGAGGCAGGTACTCTGCAAAGGAGAACTTGAGAAGAAATACTAGTCGCCTCCTTCGACGCTAGTCCATCTCTGCTGCTCCATTTGATGGAATGGCAGGCTCTCTTTAAAGAGGCAGATGTGAAAGGAGGTGTTAAGTCTCTCCAGACATCCTCTTGTCAATGGACAGTTCTCAGTAAAAAGTCAGCTTTTCATGCGTCTTGCTGTCATTTTCCTGACTCTTGTCCCAAATAAACTACAATTACCTTTAGCATCTAAGACAGTGGGCATTATGACCTTTATCAAGGCATGTGGCATAGATGCTAAAGCACCAGTCTGACACGGTGAGGACCATGTTAAAAATCAATGGATAAAGTAAGTGGCAGCGCCTCTAAACTAAGAAAGAGATTTAGCTTAATTACAGAACACTGTACTTTCATAATTACTATTTAATGGTGAGTTCATGAAGTTCTCCACTTTTCCTTAAAATGAAATTCCACCTTCCCTGAGAATAGGGTTAAGAGAAACATCAAAACTCAAAATGCCTAGGACCCTTTAAAAAAACAACACAACGGAATGTCTATATCCAGTCGCAGTGTGTTGTTTCTACTCTAAAAGCTTTCCATTTCTCCAGGTTTGAATCTCACCTCCCTCTGGACTCTAGGAATACAGGTGGAGATGGGCAAGGTGAGACAAGAGACTGAGGAAGTGAGCAGCTGTCACGTGCTGGCTGTTCTCATGGGACGGCAAAGAGCTGTGGCCTGAGGCCAGAACCCGACGTTTAATGCTGGTGTCCTACTGACAGGATGAGTGGGATGAGGCAACCCAGAACCAGGGCGGCCACCTCTAGGCGGCTGAGGCCCCTCCCGCCATTGGAATCGGGTTTGTGGCTATGCCCCATTCCGCCCACCTCAGGGAGGACATGTACTGTGGCAACATAAAGAAACGTCCCAGCAGAGAAAAGCATGGCCACTCCAGTGGCATTGACCTCTGAAAGGGCTTCTTTACTGCTCTGTGAAGAGAGAGACAGGGAGAGAGAGAAAGAAGAAAAATTAAGTAAAATTCAGGGTCAAGAAGAAATCCTGATTTAAAAAAAAAAAAAAACAGCATTCACAACTGGTGCAACAGGGACATCTTGAGATCAGACCAATTTTGTTATTGATGAGAAGCTTCCAAATAAGAGTTTAAAGACTACTGATAATGTACACAATTGCTTTTTCAAACAAACTTCAAGTCTGGTTAAACAGATCTGGCATGTATTATTTTTACAATGGAATCAACAGCATTATTAATGCAGGTATTAAATTTTGTACATTCATTCATTTATTCTACTGATATTTAACGAACATCCCTATACATATATCAGGCTCTGGTGCTTGAGATACAGTGGTAATCAAGTTGCAGCACCTGCCCTCCCAGAGATTAGAAACATCTTCTAAACTAATCTTGACACAATTAACTTTACCTTTTTCTATTAAAAAAGTGGACCTATGGACTATGACAATTAATTACAAATTTAAGAAGAGAACACACTATAATGTAACAGGTAACCCCATACCTCCAGAATTATACCTTCTTATCAGAAGTTCTAAAGACTTGCACTGGTCAGTGAAGTGATAAAGAGGATAATTATATACTGCTTATGGACTGAAAGAAGAAAAGGCTCTTCAAATGATCAGAGGGGGTTTTTATAACACCTCATTTGTTAGTAATCCAGATCAATAAACCTGATTAACAGGAACTTAATCATCTTTTAACCATCTCATTTCTCATATGTTCTTTTTGATACGAGTATTACTCTATCAGCTACGAATGGAATGACACTTAGAAGAATCAATGACCCTGACAGAGAGTATAGGGGAAAGCAGTTCGCATACACTAGCCCTGAGTCAGTTTGGTTCTCAGATTTTTCTCTTGTTGCTAATCAGTTCACACTGAAGTACAGCAGGGAGGACCTGCATGCAGCCGCAGGGGACAGAACTGGAAGGTAGGGAAAGATCCAACGTGAACAGGGAAGAATGCCCAGGCTTGGAACTGACAAGTGACACATGTTACTTCAGGTCTGACGTTATGCTCAGTGCAATGATAAAGAATTGGAGGGACGCCTGGGTGGCTCAGTGGTTGAGTGACAGTCTTTCAGCTCAGGGCATGATCCTGGGGTCCTGGGATCAAGTCCTACCTTGGGCTCCCTGCATGGAGCCTATTTCTTCTCCCTCTGCCTATGTCTCTGCCTCTCTCTCTCTGTGTGTCTCTCTGAATAAATAAAATCTTAAAAAACACACACACACAACTGGATATTTTATATGTGGTGATAGGAGAACAAAGACATCCCTCTACTCCTTACTCTCCTCAAAGCTGCTGTTTGCCTGTCCCTCACACTTCATGTGCCTGCATTAAATGAATTAAATACATAACATTAAATATGTACTGTCGTGACTTCTATATCTGTCAAACAAAACCAGTGTCTGGTTAGGCTTGAGTTATGCTATTTACAGATCATTTGTCTGTGCAAATGTTTTCAGAACTGATGGAAAAGAAATTTTCAAATTAATTGAATAGGAAAATGTTCAAAATTTATCAAGAGAATGCCTTGCAATTAAGATTTTTACCTTGTACTGGCTTTTACTCCTAATTTCATCTTTAGTTTGAGAGGGTAACTTAATTGACAAATTCAACGTAAGAGACCATAAGTTCTGGTAAGTCACAAAAGAATTAGATACTTGTCTAGATAAGCTATGAATGAATCAGACTTACCTTACTTAGTCCTAAGTATGTCACCATGGACATAACTGGTGCTGCCAGTGCAAAAACCAGTAAGTGTTTTCTGATTCTATTCCGTTCTAGGCCAGCATGCATTAAGAAGGAAACTAGTCCAAAAGCAGCTGGTGCCTGGAAAAGAAAAATTATTCCTGATTACTCTTAAAAGTATGGATCACTGCTGTATTATGAAGTACATGTCATTTGACTGAATTCTCATAAAAAAAACCAGGCATGGTACACCAAAATTGAGTTCTGCCTTTTAGGAATTAATGTTCTAAGCTAAGAAAATATCCTACACTTCTGTGTATGTGTGTGTGTGTGTGTATGTGTGTGTGTGTGTGTTTCTTAGTAGTAAAAGAGAAATAGTCAAGAAAAGATTATAAGAAAGCAAAAATATTTATGAACAAAAATTAAATATAGAAATATTTAAAATACAGAAATGTGTAGAGAATTTAAGAGTTTGTATATATGACCATAAAAAAGTCCCTTCAAGTGAAAGTTTAAGAAAATAGTAGCAAAAAATCCTAGCTATGAATAGAGCTAGTCAACTGTCTCAAATGAATGGCAATTAAGAAAACTAAAACATTTTCCCATTCCAAAAAAATGTTAATGACCAAAGAGAAATTTTAATTATGAATATATTCAATATCAAATCTTTCACTAAAGTTCTGCTTACCTTATGTAGCATTATTGCCACAAACACAATTAATTGGACGCTAGTCTGTGAAGTAGAGGCTGCTGCTCCTAAGGCAACACCGTCCGCTAAATTTGGAAAAAATAAAACATAAGACACTATAACAACAACAACTATAATAGTGTAGTTTTGTGTGTGGGCTTTAGAGTCAGGTAGAGCCGCATGTGACTGTGTTATGGTTCCTTAATCTTTTCTTTTTCTTTTTTTTTAACCTTTTCTGAACCTTAGCCATCTCATCTCTAAAATGGACTCAAGGAAGTATATATATTATTCCTAGGATTTTCATGAAGGTTAAATGAGGTAACATATGTAAACAGCTTAGCACCTGGCCCCAAACATTCAGTATGTCAGCTCTTATAACAGAAATTGCAAAGACTACAAAGTAAGCATCTCTGTATCTTGTAGGAAAAACATAAATATTGTACATAGATGGTTAATACTTAAGCAAGTATTGGCTGGCTAAATGAATTTTTGTCAGATAAGCATGTTATATTTGAAGGGTCCAGGTGACAGTGTGCCATCTTCCACGTGCCTTTGTCAGTCTCAGACTCCTACTACGGGGACTGGTCTTCAGTTGTGACTCTAAGGCATGCCCAGTCAGCGATGCCGTGCCTTCTGCATTCTACAACCCACCTCCACCTCACTGGTATATACTGAGCAAAACAAGGCTATTCAGTACAAAAATGTCAAAGCTCTTTTCTAGATGAGGCTCTAGGGCAGAGGTCAGCATATTTTTTTCTTGAGGGCCAGACAGGAAATACTTCAGGTTTTGCAAATCATTTGCTCCCTTACAGTCACTGCATTCTGCCATTACTGTGCAAAGGCAGCCATAGATAATATGTAAACAAATGGGCATGATTGCGTTCCAAAAACTCTTTATTTACAGGTGATGGAATTTGAATTTCATATAATTTTCCTGTGCCACAAAATATTTTTCCTCTATTAAAAAAATAGAAAAACTGTTGTTAGCTTGCAAATCCCTGACACTGAGTACACCCGGGGTTATACTTGTGTTGGAGGACTTCACTGAGCAACCTTCAACCCGAGGGCCAGCCCAAGAGGACTTCATGGGGATGCTCCCTGGGATGTACACGCTAAGCCTCCCACACTGAGCCAGGAGAGAAAGGGGTCTCATGGCCTTCCAATCCTACCTGCAGCATGGACGACCAGACCCAGTGTGGTGGTGATTTTGGAATTGCTGGGCCTTGCTGTTTCTGGATCTGAAGTAAAAATAAGTAAGTCAGCTATGAAGCAATGTGAAATAGAAACTGTTAGAACACTGACCAGGAGGTAGAAGAGTTCTTTGAAAGCTGTTAGATTATATTTTCCTCAAGACTATCTTTTCTTTTTGGCTTCAAACACTTAGAAGTTTCCTCTGTCCTGAAAGGTGGGCAGGAACCCTTCATTTGCCCTAGCCTTCCCCGAACAGATAATATGTAACCCTTACCTGCCTCAAGTGCACCCCTTACCCCTCCAGCTCTCCCTAGAAAGTGCTCTGTGGCCCCTCAGTGCTTCTCTGCAGACCGATCTCACCACCACTGCCTACCTGCTCCTCTTCGCCAACCTCCTGCAACTTTCTCTTTATTTCAACACCAAAATGTCTGTCATGTTTGCCCTTCTCTATTTTAATGCCACCATCCTAACCTAAATTTGCATCAACCTGAGCCTGAATGAGCAACAGGCTCCCAGCTGGTCTTCTGCTCTCATTTCTTCCTAATCCTACTCATATATATATCCTTGTTGGATTCATCTCTGAATCACCCCACTCTTCTGACATGCCACTTATCTACTGCTTTTCAGATTCAGCCCAAACTGCTCTATTAAGTGGGTTCTTAAGATCTTTATCAACTGGTATCATCTTATTTCTCACTATTCAGCCCAGTTAAACCACTTGTGTTTTTTTTTTTTTTTAACACCTTCTAATGAAACATTCTCATTGTCCTTTCCCCAAATCTCTCATCCTTAATTCTTGGCATGAACTTAAACTTCTCAGCTCATCAATTTGAAACCTAGCCGCTGTTCAAAGACTAATTCTAGGACCACTTCCCTCAAAAAAGAATCAAAGATTAATTCCAGCTCAAAAGGGCCCCCCTTGCTTAGAAACCAAGAGCTTTATGTGCAGACTCGACATGCTACTTCAAAGCTTTTCCTACATCACCACCTGAGATATATACAATTGTTTTCACTCAAATAGGTCTTATAGCTCCAGATTGACTGTAAACTACATAAAAGTGAATTTTCCATTTCTTTTCCACGTGTCTTACAGAATGTAGCACAGTACTGGAAACCCAATAGCTGCTTTAAAAATCCTTATTGGATAGGGGAAAAAATATTTCTCTGTATCATGAATATTTCTACTATAACAGAAAATTTACAAGCAAGTAATAATGTCCAAACAAGGTAAAATTAAAAGATGGGGACATCAAAATGCCAGAGGAAATGACAGATGGACATTAGTCAAATAAATTCCAAGGGATTTAATCTTCTGGGGAAACCCAACACACAGAAGGAATGGTTTACACTGGAAAAAACATATACAAATAACATGTTATCTTTGTACTAAAAGTAATCTTCTAAGACACTGCAAGGAACAGAAAATAAAGCCCCTAATTGGTTGGAGACAATAAATATTTCAATGTCACCCCAAACTGTGAAGAATATCATATTATATTTGTGTGACAAGCTTGTTCTGACTTTTTTTTAATAGTCTTGTGGTCTAGCTTTAAATAGCTTCTTAAAAAAAAATTAGAGGTTTTAAAACTGAAACACAGTTTTTATAAATCTATAGGAAAAGGCTGTACTTCAGCATAAATTTAATAAATGAATTTTTACTGATATTTAATAATACATAAAACCCTGTAGATAATAGGTAAAACCAGATTATCAGATACATGAAAATGAGCAAAAACAGTGATTTCAGAGATAAAACAAGAGGAAGAATAAAGGAATACATGCTATTTTTAATTCTTTGTATAGGATTACAGGGCTCTAATGCACCTTTAAATGCATTTAAAAATTGAAACTGACAAGAATCAAAAAAATGTCATAGAGGTCACCGTGAGGAACTGTGTAATGCAGCTGGAATTAGATACTATCCCACCAGAGGGTGCTTCTCATTTGCTATTTGTTAAAAGCACACGAATAAAACCATTTACTCCTAAATCAATTTATCAATACATGTAAGGCTGCTAAAATAAAGGGTATAGGGAAAAATACTGAAAAGAAATAGTATATGCATGGAGATTAAAAAAAAATATCCTTAGACTGAAAAGGTTAATTAAATTAAGTTCAATGAATTTTTTTGGGGAAAAAAAACCCTTTTACTTGGAAATAATTTCAAATCTTTCAAAAAATCTTTGAAATAATTTGAAAAAAATCTTTCAAATCTTCAAAGTTTCAAGAATGTTCAAAAAACATTCACTACTTTCTCAGAATTACCTAATATCTAACATTTGACCCCATTTGCTTCCTTATCTGCGCTCACTTTCTCCACCCACTCACACAACACATACACACATACACACACACACATATTTTTTTTCTGTACCATTTCAAACTAAGTTGCATGTATCATACCTCTTTACCCCAGATATTTCAAAATGTACTTCTTAAGAGAAAGGTTACTTTCTTATATAATCACAGTACAGTTATTAACTTAGTAAATTTAATATTGATACTTTTCTTTCTAATCTCTCTTGCATATTCTAATTTTGTTAACAGCCTACGAAAGTCTTTCAGAGCATTTTTCCCTCCCAGGAAGGATCCTGTCTGGGATCATATATGCACTTAGTTGTATCTCTTTAATCACCTGAAATCTGGAGCATTTTCTCTGTCTTTGACTTTTACGATATTGATTATCTTTGAAGAATAAATGTTCCTTTCTGAACCTTTCTTGTTTTTAAATAGAATGATCCCTTCCTTTTGGGTTTGTCTGATGTGGCCTTAGATCACATTCTTAGATGGAATACTACACAGGTGTTGCTTCTCAGGGTGTCATGACTAGAGGCACAGAATGTACACCTATCTGCCGTTTGCTAGTAGAGTGAATTTTGGATTATATCCTGGACATTGTGAATGTTATCTTGTGGATACTCTGGATTCTATTATAGGCCTCCAAAGAGTGTCGATCTTGTGTTTTGCTTTAAGTCACTTCGTTTGGATTAAATTGCCATGTCTGTCTTTTGGGCAGCTGCTCAAATCCCAGTGCAGTTCTTTCATCTTTAGCAGAGTCTGCCCGTAAAAGAATGGTTCAGGGCTCAGCCAGACTTGGGTTGAATTTATACATAAAATCTGAGGCTGTTTCTCTGTCTCTCTCCTTTCTAAGATTCTCCCCTAACTTTCTAGTGGCTGTAGTTACCCTGACCTCTGTCCTAGTTCCTTAGGCCAGAGAGACCTAGTTTTTGGAGTTTTAGCTACCCCACTGAGCTCTAATTGCTTAAAAGCAGTAAAAACAGAAACTCACTCTATTCCAAGGGATAACTCCCCTCCAGAATCTTCCTGCTTTAGGTTACTCTGGTGACTTTAGGTAGTAGTTTTTAAAAATTTGCCCAGAGGGATCCCTGGGTGGTGCAGCGGTTTGGCGCCTGCCTTTGGCCCAGGGCGTGATCCTGGAGACCCGGGATCGAATCCCACGTCGGGCTCCTGGTGCATGGAGCCTGCTTCTCCCTCTGCCTGTGTCTCTGCCTCTCTCTCTCTCTCTATCATAAATAAATAAAAATTAAAAAAAAAATTTGCCCAGAGTTTATAATTATCTGTGAGGAGGTTGGTCTGTTAGGTACTTCTTTTCCCACTCCGAAAACAGACACCAATGACATCAACTTCGATCAAGTCAAGGTACTATTGTATTTCTTCATTTTGTTACTCCTTTTCCCTTGCAACTAATAAACAAATCAAAATTTACCCCCTAGATTTAACATCCGTTGATGATTCAGGCCTGAGTCAATTTTTACTATGAAGCTTGCAAAACTGATTTCCTCCTGCCGGCGTCTTGCCACACTTATAAGCTGGCATTCAGCAATCCACAGTAAGCAAGTGTTCTCCTGCCTCCTCTCTCTCACATGGGTGTGCTCAGGGCTTCCCGTTTTTTCAATGGTTTATGCTTCATTACTGTTCATAATTAATTATTTTGGCGCTCAAACTATCTTAGGTCTGGCCAGTAGGAACCCCTTCAAGTTAGTTCTGTACCCTGTAACAAGTTTTCATTTCCTTCCTTCCTTCCTAGGTGCTTTTTTTTTTTTTTTTTTTTTTTTTGAGCACTAGATGTTCCAAGCTCATTTTGTACTTACCCTGCCCCTGTCCTCGAATCAGCCATTTCTCTGAAGAGCCCTGGTATGCTCATTGCTAGTGGGGTGTCTTTACTTCTAGGCCCTCTCTGCAGACAGAGCTAGGACATACATACATGTATACATAAACACACACGTATATATGTACACATATACACACATATACACATATACATTTTAGAAATAATGAGTCCAATAGCTCCAATTTCAGTCCATCCCTATAGGGCTTCTTTCTTGCCTTCCCCCATTTTGTACATCCCCTCTTCCACAGTGAAAACTCTGGTTCCACCAACAGCAACACAGTTACTCAGATGAGAGTAACACCTCCTCAATCCTAGAATACACCTAAAACAGTTTCAGAATTGTTTTCACCTGTACCATCACAAAAAGCAAAAGCCTACTAAAAAGAGTTTGGTAATTGTTTTTGCTTCTCCAACTCCATTCAAAACTAAAAATATATAGTCAAATACTATATTCATAAGTCACCTGAATGAGTTTTTTAAAAAATCCCTTTCAGTGTGATTGTGTTATTCATTTGCATTACAGTTCACCTGCTTCAGCTGGCTTCCTCTAACCTGTTGATTTCATTTTATTTTTTGAATATGGAAAATATCAGCAGGTTGCCAAAAGTCAAAACTTTATCCAAGATGCACACCCAGCAAAAAGCCATGCCCTCCTGAAACTCTTCTACCCTACTCTATCCTGGCCCCAACTCTTATAGGTAACTCTTGTCTAGTTGAGCTTTCATGTTCCCTTTTTGTAAAAATAAGCAGACATAAGTGTTTTATTCCCCCTCTTTCTTACACAAAATGTAGTATATGATATATACTAATTTATATTTCAGTTTTCCCCACTTAAAAATATCCGCTAGAAATCTCTCCCTATCCAGAGATCTGACACCTCATTTCTTTTCCTAACAACCCAGAACTCCATTATATGCACACATCACATTTCATTCAACCAATTTCCATGACTGGGCATTTATATGGTTTTACAGTGATAAATAATGCTGCACCGAATAATCTTGTGCGTGTGTATTTTCATATTGGAGCTGCATTATCAGAATAAACTCCTAGAAGTGGGATTTGGGGGTTAAAGGAAAAATACAAAGGTGGTTTTATCTGATATGGCCAAATTCCCCTCTGCAGGGGCTATATAACTTATTTTGTATTCCCACAGCAATAGATGAGGGTGTGTTTCACTGTAACTTTGATAAAAAAGTGTATTGTCAAGCTTTTGAATTTTTGCTTAACAGGTAAGAAATGGCATCTCAGCAGTTTTGATTTGCATTAAGTGAAATTGAACATCTTTTCATATGTTTAAGGACCATTTTAATTATTTTTTTTATTAACTATCTGTTCATGTCTTTTGCCTGCTTTTCCACAGATTGTTTTGTAGGCCATAGATTCTTAACCTGGGGTCCATGGAGGTGGAATATAGGAGGTGCCTGTGACCCTAACTTGGAAAAAAAACCCCACATTTTAATTTTTACTAACCTCTAAATGAAATCCATCATTTCCTTTGATTATGAATATAGATCATAAACTACAGACACTGGCACTACCTATACTTTACTGCTAGTAGGAATCAGATGATTTAATTTTATTTTACAGTTGTAGACATCTTTGTATCATTGCTCTCACTCATCACTACTTTAAGGGTATATAAATTGGCATCACATCACACTGCATGATTATGGTCTTTGTAGATGATCATATGACAAAGCTGGGCAACTGTCAGGCAACTTTGTACCTACAGTCATTCAGCCACTAAATAGCAAAAGTCATGGAATCTCTCACTGGGGAACCAAGACATCTATGCGGTCTCTAGCAGTTCCTACCTGCAAAGTTCTCTGCCAGTGGTTTCTTTCTTTCTTTTTCTTTTTTTTTTTTTTAAAGATTTTATTTATTTATTCATGAGAGACACAGAGAGAGAGGCAGAGACATAGGCAGAAGGAGAAGCAGGGTCTATGCAAGGAGCCCAATGTGGGACTCAATCTGGGACTCCAAGATCATGCCCTGAGCCGAAGGCAGATGCTCAACCGCTGAGCCACCCAGGCATCCCTCTGCCAGTGTATTTGAAAAGAGGGATCTATAAACCCTATATCACCAAACCCTAGGAGTCTGATGCACCTCTTCCAAATTTATTCTATCACGGTGGCATTAAAGTTGTATCATGGATCAGAATCTCTTTTTTATTTAATATAAACCATATCAAAGATGTTGACCTAGCCAAAGTTGAATTCATTGATCTTTTTTAAAAAAATTATTTAAATTCATTTAACATACTGTGTATTATTAGTTTCAGGGGTAGAATTTAGTGATTCATCAAATGCATATAATACCCAGTGCTCATGCCACCCAGTGCCCTCCTTAATGCCCATCATCCTGTTAATCCTTCCCCCCACCCTGTCCCCTCCAGTGACCCTTAGTTTGTTTCCTATGGTTAAAAGACTCTTATGGTTTGCCTCCCTCTCTGCTTTTTGTTATTTTCCTACCCTTCCCCTATGTTCATCTGCTTTGTTTCTTAATGAATTCATTGATCTTGGGCAGCCCCGGTGGCACAGCGGTTTAGCGTCGCCTGCAGCCTGGGGTGTGATCCTGGAGACCCGGAATCAAGTCCCACATTGGGCTCCCTGCATGGAGCCTGCTTCTCCCTCAGCCTGTGTCTCTGCCTCTCTGCCTGCCTCTCTCTCTCTCTCTGCCTCTGAATAAATTAAAAAAAAAAAATGAATTCATTGATCTTAAGACAAAAAAGTTACTATATCTGGGGGCACCTGGCTGGCTCAGTTGGTAGAGCATGCAATTCTTAATCTTGGGGTCATGGGTTTGAGCCCCATGTTGGGGGTAGAGTTTACTCTAAATAAATAAATAAATAAATAAATAAATAAATAAATAAATAAATAAATAAATAAATAAAAGTTTTTGAGTTACTATGCCTGGAGTTAAATCTAAAGTCTTAGAGAACTGCAGTTGTAGTTGAGGAGGTATATCTTTCCTTGGAAAGCAAGCTAGGAATGTGTTTAAGTATATTTTTAAGAAAATATCTTTGTGAATCAGGAATTTCTATATTTGTAGCCATTAAAACAAAAAAACCAATCAATTGGATGTTTAATTTGACACTGTTGCCTTGTTGAAGCCCATCCCACAATTTAATATTTTTCACTAAGCTAAACAATAAAAACTGTCATGCTGATGTCCTAAAAATAAAATTTAACTCCACCTTGCGTATGAGTTAAATATATTATCTAGTTAATTAAATCAATAAAGAAGATATACATTACTGTATCACAAATTGATTTCAATGTTTTGGAACTATATTACAATATAATTGGGTTTTCTCTGTAATCCTATGCATTATGGTTTACATATAAAAATATGATTCCAGGGATCCCTGGATGGCGCAGCGGTTTGGCGCCTGCCTTTGGCCCAGGGCGCGATCCTGGAGACCCGGGATCGAATCCCACGTCGGGCTCCCGGTGCATGGAGCCTGTTTCTCCCTCTGCCTGTGTCTCTGCCTCTCTCTCTCTCTCTCTGTATGACTATCGTAAATAAAAAAATATATATATGATTCCAATTAAAAGTCCACAGACTTCAGAATGCCCAGGGCTCCATGGCACAAAAAAAGTTAAGAATTTCTGCCCTAGACTACCAACCAAATGAGATAGCTCTAAGGTAAGTATGATAATAAACCAACAAGCACTCTCTTGTGCAACATGTCACAACTCACCAGCTCCCTCAACTAAATAAATGTTCACTAGAACCCAAGAAAGGTTAAGAGTTTTTGGCATTAAATAAGGCCATTGATACCTACTGAATTATTCAATCATCTGTTACTTTCTAAACTGTAAATTTACTGCATTGCCCAGAAAGCCCTGGAGCCACTTACCATCAGTAGAATGCACATGAGAGCTGCCAATCTGGTCTACCAGCAACATGAAAACGAAGCCCAGCACAAGGGAAACACCAATGTAGGCATGCAGCTGTGTGTGGTCATGGCTGTGCTCATGTTCATGGGCAACTGGTATTTCTGCTGCTTTGTCTGATGCAATCACATTCTGTGTTTCACTCACTTGGTGGTGTTTACCTAGAGCAGAAAGAACCATGAAGAGAAAATGTTTTCTTCCCTGAAACATTTTCATATAGAGGCTTCCATTCTTCTATATTTCAAGCTCTACTTACATTACTGCAAAGACATCTACTTCCTATACTACAATCCAGCCAATCATAAACTTCTTTTGGCAGGCAGATCTTTTTTTTTTAATTTTTCTTATATATTTGACAGAGAGAGGGCACAAAAAAGGGGAGCAGCAGAGGTTGCTGCAGAAGGAGAGGGGGAAACAGGCTCCTCACTGAGCAGGGAGCCTGATGCAAGGCTCGATCCCAGGTCCTGGGATCATGACCTGAGCTGAAGGCAGACACTTAACTGAGCCACCCAGGTACAGATCTTTTAACTGCCTACTGTTCTGAAAACCTCAAGTGAAAGCAAATCACCACGCAAGAAAGCAGTCATATTCCCAAGTGATATCATCCTCAGATCCTCCTTTCTGGCTGAGAAATTCATGCCAATATCATCAGAAATTATAGTGAGTTTTATTCTGATGAAGATAGGTGAGTGAAGAGCAGTAGTAATGAAAATATTTTAACCAAATTCATCTAGTTTTACATCTAGGTTGATATAGGAACTGCAAATAAACAGAGTATAAAACTTTAAGCTTTAAAAAATATCAGTAGGGGGAGTGCCTGGGTGGCTCAGATAGTTAACCATCTGCCTTTGGCTGAGGTCATTGATTTCTGTCTGGGTCCTGTGATAGACCACACTGCCCCCACCTCCTGGCTCAGCAAGGAGTCTTACTTCTCCCTCTGCCTCTCTTTTCTGCTCCTGCACTCACTCTCTTAAATGAATAAAATCTTTATTCATATATATATATGAATGACAGGAGGCAATCACTAACTAGAAGCCAAAAGGGCAGAGCAATTTAAGGGACACAGCCTTCCATCTAAATTCAGTTCTAGAAATACAATTGCCAGGATACTCCAAATTATAGGCAGTGATATTTGGCCAAATAATACTTTGTTTATATTCACATATAACACTCACAGCATAAATGCTTTAGGCCAGAATCCTGATCTTTGCTGTGTTTAATGAAGAGTGGCTAACATATTAGACATTTCTTATTTATAATTAAACATTTTTATCTTTGATCAATATTTTAGACCCTGCCTTAATTCTTTAAAAGATATTTTTAAGGGGCATAGGGCACATGCCATGTGAAAAAAATTTTAAAAACCTATATATTCTTCTAATTGCTGACAGATTTTTTTGGTTTGTTTTTTCTTTTTGGTTTGTTTTCATAGCCATTTTCTTTTTTAAACTTTTAAAAAATGTGATAAAATATACATAAAATCTACTTACCATCTTAACCATTTTTAAGTGTAGAGTTTAATAGCATTAAATACATTCATACTGTCCTGCAAAAATCATCATCACCTATCTTCAGAACTTTTTCATCATCCCAAAAGAACCTGGAGAGTTTGTTTTTTAACCTGGAGAGTGATTTCATCTACTTGTTTATGAATTAAATGTTAAATCTCTCTTTAAAAAAACTTTATTGAAGTATAATTAACATTCAATAAAACACAATGAATTTTCACAATGCAAAAATTCTAGTAACTATCACCAAGGAAAAGATACAGAATATTTTAAAATCCCAGAAAAGTTCTATGTTCCTCTGAAGTCAATATATCACTCCTGGTCCCAACCAAGGACTGGTGTGCTTTTTTGTCCCCAGAAAGTTTTTTTTTTTCCTCTAAGATTTCATATAAATAGAATCATATAATACATAACTTTCTTGTGTAAGGATTCTTTTGCTTATAGCCTGATGTTTCGATATTTATCTATGCTTTGCAGGTATCAGTTGTTTGTTCCTCTTTTTTGATGAGTAATGTTCCACTGCATGGACATATCACAATTTGTTTACCTATTCACCTACTGATGGACATTTGGGTTATTTCTGATTTTGGTCTATTATAAATAAAGCTGCTGTGAGCATTCAGGTACAAGTCTTTCTGTGGATACAGGTTTTCTTTTTCCTTGGGTACATATGTATGCCTAGAATTGATGGATTGTGTGTAGGTTTTTTTTTTTTAATTATTTATGATAGTCACAGAGAGAGAAAGAGAGAGAGAGAGGCAGAGACATAGGCAGAGGGAGAAGCAGACTCCATGCACTGGGAGCCCGACGTGGGATTCGATCCCGGGTCTCCAGGATCGCGCCCTGGGCCAAAGGCAGGCGCCAAACCGCTGCGCCACCCAGGGATCCCCTGTGTGTAGGTTTAACTATAAAAAACTGTTTTCCACAGTGGTTATACCATATTACACACCCAACAACAGGGTATGAGAGTACTAGTTGCTCTATATCATTTTCAACATTTGATACTGTGAGGCTTTAAAACTTTAACCATTTTACACACATGATCACGTTATCTAATTTTACTTCTTTCCAATCTTTTTGCCTTTCTTTCTTTTTCTGGCTAGGATCCCAAATACAATGTTAGCATCAGTGGTTGAGAGGAGATGGTCTTGCTTTGCTCTAACTACTATAGATGTCTTAGCCATAGGGTTTCCATATACTCTTTCTCAGTAAGAAAGTTCTTTCCTAGTTTGCTGTAATTTTTGTTATAAGGGAGAGTTTAATTTTGTCAAATGCTTTTCTGTACCTGTTAAGGATGATCAAATGGTTTTTCTACTTTATTCCATTAATATAATAAACTGATTTTTGAATATTACTCCAACCCCTACTTTGTATTCCTGGGATAAACTCCAACTGATGAAGATGTGTTATCCTTTTTCTATATTGCTGGATTCAATTTGCTACATTTGATAAAAGACTGTTCAAGTGGGATATCTGCCTGTATGTAACCCTTTTCCTGTAACATCTCCAAGTCACACTGGTATCTTAAAATGAGATGGAGTATTTCTCCAAGAGATAGATAGAAAAGACCTCCTATAGCCAAGACATTTCCATTTTATTTAAACAAAGTCTATGACTATCAACAGTTTTTCTGATGTTAATGTTAAATAGTATTTCTAAGTTACTAAATGAGATCTATGACCTTTTTTGAAATTTTTAAGACCATGACCTAGAGTAAAAATAATTTTTATATATATGAAAAACTAAATACAAAGCTTCACAAAACAGTGAAGCTTATAATGATTACAATGCACTTATCCATTTCTTTCTCTTTCCCTCTTTCTTTGTCCCTCTACCAGGCTCTTTTTAAATACTGGTCCCGGGATCCCTGGGTGGCGCAGCGGTTTGGCGCCCGCCTTTGGCCCAGGGCATGATCCTGGAGACCCGGGATCGAATCCCATGTCAGGCTCCCGGTGCATGGAGCCTGCTTCTCCCTCTGCCTGTGTCTCTGCCTCTCTCTCTCTCTCTCTCTGTGACTATCATAAATAAATAAAAATTAAAAAAAATTTAAAAATAAATAAATAAATAAATAAATAAATAAATAAATAAATAAATACTGGTCCCAAGTCCAACTCACTAAATTTATTTAAAGGCCCACTGAGTTGCTACCTTCAGTTTGAAAACACTACTGTAGGTGTAAAGATTCAGGGGGGAAATGGATGATTTTGGAATAAGGGGCATCTTCTGGAAACTAGAAGCCTGGTCTGAAGTGGTCAACTGAAGAGAGGTGAATGCTAGGTTGTAGGCGCCCACTTGGTTTCTTACACAAAATAAACCGTTAGCAGCAAGTATGTTACAAAGAACTGACTAAAAGCTCAGAGATGAAAAATAATTTTTAAAGATTTATTTTATTTATTTATTTATTTATTTATTTATTTATTTATTTATTTATGATTTTACTTTTATTTATTCATGAGAGACACAAACAGAGTGAGAGAGAGAGAGAGAGAGGCAGAGACACAGGCAGAGACACAGGCAGAGGGAGAAGCAGGCTCCACACAGGGAGCCCGATGTGGGACTCGATCCCGGGTCTCCAGGATCACACCCTGGACTGATGGCTGCGCTAAACTGCTAAGCCACCCGGGCTGCCCGAGATTAAAAATAATTAAGTTTGAAAACTACAGTCCAAGAATCTTGAGTTAGTAATGTTGGACAATTAAAATGCAGCCTCATGGTAACAAGACTGTATTAAGTTTGTGAAAATCACTGAGCTGTACCCTGCCAATATGTGTATTTTCTTTGTGGTTTTTCATATGTAATATTTAGTAAAAATTAATAAACTCAAAATGTAGTATTCTGGTGCCCAATATTGAGATGGCTACACCCATCATTTTTCAAATAGTCTTCTTTGTGAGCTGAGGATCTAGTTTAGCATGGCCCCAACAATGTGAAATAAATGAACTAAGACATCTGATTTTCTCTAAAGACAAGGCAATTTGGGGGTATGTTTCCATTTTAATATATAAAACCATGATTTAATTATTCATATTTATAGATGTTAAGAAGCTGCCCATGTGGGATGTCTGGCTGGCTCAGTCAGTGGAGCATGAGACTCTTGATCTGGTTGGCCCACAACAGATGTAGAGATTACTTAAAAATAAAATCTTAAAAAAAAAAAAAAAAAAAGCTACCCATGTAAAGTAAATCACAGAATTTTGGTAGCTACAATTTCCAATATTATTTGGAAAGATGCTATTGGAGAGTATATGAATGATTACATTTCATAAAGTACCTACTTAACAGTTAACTGGGCTCCCATCTCTCTCTCTGCCTATAATTTGCATGAGTTAATGAATCCACAGGCCCTCCATGCTGCTGCTTCTGGGGATAACATCTTGTCTCTAAAGACTCAGCTCCTAAGTCCCCTCTTCCTTGAGATTCTTGTGTCCTCTTTTCCTCATACATTCACAGCAACAGCACACTGCATGTCTGTCTACTATAGGTCTTACACCTTACTATATCATAATTCAGACATCAGTAAATTACAGCACAGGGCTGGCGCCTATTTTTGTAAATAAAAATTGCATTGGAACACAGCCACGTCCATTTGTTCACAGATTATCTATGGCTGCTTTCATGTTATGACACCAAGGTTGAATAATGCAACAGAAACC